CTTGATAGTGATCATTCGATTGTGTGAGTGAGCGATTCTAGTGCGATTGCATCGTGAGGTTGCATCGAGTGGCACTAGGTGGTCGTGTTGCTGGCCGGTGGTGCTTGTTACTCTTGGAGGTTGCCACCTCCTAGGCGGCTTAGTGGTGGTCTCCGTCGAAGCCCGCAAGAAGCTTGTGCGGCGCCCGAGGAGAAGTGCTTGTGAGGGTACTTGTGTGCTCGCCCATGAGTCATGAAGAGCAACTTTAGTAAAGCGTGTCATTGAGCTACCCTCACTCAAGGGGTAGGTTCTTGCGGCGCCCGACGTGCGGGCTTAGGGTGATGCTAATTAGCCGCGCCGAACCACCAAGTGAGCGGTCGACACAGCGGGGACTAGCGTGTTGGCAAACACGTGAACCTCGGGAGAAAAATCATCGTGTCAACCTTGTTCTTCCCGTTGGTTTGCATCCCCATTACACAAGCTTGCAATTACTTATATATATATCTTAAGCTTGTGTAGTTGCTCTTGTAATTAGATAGCTTGTGTAGCTAGCTAATTACCTTCTTGCTTGTATAGCATAGAAGTAGCTCTCTTGCGTGGCTAATTTGGTTTTAGTAACCTTGTTAGTCACATTGCTTAGTTTGTGTAGCTAAGTATTTGCGCTCTCTAATTAGGCATTGGTTGCCTTGTTATTGAGCATTGCTAGTGAGCTTAGTTAGCTTTGTGCTTTTGCTTACTAGCATGTGTAGGAGCTTCCTTGTTACTTAAAGTACTAGTGGTATAGGTTTGTGTGACCTTGCTCCTAGAATTGTTTAGGAGAGCTCTAGCTAGCCCGGCACCTTAGTTGCTTTATTAGTATCTTTGCAAGGTGCTAGTGAACATATATAGAGGGGTATAGTCTTGGCTAGACCGATTGTTTTAATTTCGCATTTATATCGGTTAGCTGACGTAATTAATTTTAGAAAAGACTATTCACCCCCCCTCTAGTCCGCCATCTCGACCTTTCAGACGTCTGTCAGCGCAACAAGACGCCGACCACACAGCCGGCCGGCCTCCTGCAGCCCCTGGATGTGCCGTCCCAGGTGTGGGCTGATATCGCCATGGACTTCATCAAGGGGCTTCCAAAGGTGCACGGCAAATCCGTGATCCTGACGGTGGTGGATCGCTTCTCGAAGTATGCTCACTTCATCGCCCTGAGCCACCCCTACACCGCCGCCTCGGTTGCTCGCGCCTTCTTCGGCGGCATCGATGCGTCTACGGCGTCCCCAACTCCATCGTCGCGACCGCGACCCGATCTTCACCAAACAACTTTGTGGCGTGATCTTTTCAAGTGTGCAGGTGTGAAGCTTCGTCTCAGCACGGCGTTCCACCCTCAGACTGACGGCTAGTCCGAGGTTGTCAACAAGGTGATCGCGATGTATCTCCGTTCGCGGTTGTTGGTGATCGGGCGCTTCGTGGGTGGCTGGCTCCCTTGGGCGAATATTGCTACAACACCTCGTTCCACACTGCGCTCCGGCGACGCCGTTTGAGGTGGTGTCTGGCCGCTCCCCGCCTCCCTTCTACCACACCGGAGGGGCGGCAGCGGCAGGCGGTGGGCGCCATCTTTGCGAGACCGCGACGCATTCTGGAGGAGGTTCGCGGCGTCTTCTCCAAGCGCAAACAATATGCCAAGCGGCTTTCACGACGAAGCACCATCGCGAGGTGGAGTTCGACGTCGGGCATGGGTGCTTCTCGCCGCTACACCGCCCACCCATGCCCCTTGCCTCACCGTCGAAGGGCAAGTTGCGTGCGCTTACGCTTCGCCGGGCCGTTCGGATCGTCGAAGCGATCGGCGGCGCGCGCTACCCGCCTCTAGCTTCCGGTAGGCGCGTCTCCATGATGTTTTCCATGTGGGCTGCTGAAGCCCTACAACTACACCGGCGCTCCTCCTGCGGCCCCCCATGATCTGCCGCCCGGTCCAGATGGGCGCCTCTGCCGGCCCCGGCGTGTCTTTGCGTGCGGCTACTGTCGTGGTGATTGGAAGCTCCTTGTCAAGTGGCGAGGTCTCTCGAGAAGAAGATGATGCGACGTGGGAGCCTCTCCAGACTTCAAGACCCTCTACCCGATGTCCGGCTCGAGGACGAGCTATTTGTCAAGCGGGAGAGATGTTATGACCGACTGCGAGTACTCAAGCGCCCGGCCACCAAGTAGTGGCTAATAAGCCATAATATTTATTTCCTGATTTATATTATTAGCAATTAGCCAAGGGGTTAATTAGTAAAAGGATTATTCATTAGCATAAATACTTGTAATCAGGATTATTGGAGATCAAGCGAAAACAGATTGTTTAGAAGCTCTGAAGGGAGCCGGAGTCCTAAACCCTAGCCGCCGCCTCTTCACGAACTCGCGCGACCACGGCGCGCCCCATGCCATGTGACGTTCAAACCTCGCCCTCCAATCTCCCACAGCTACAACCTCCGATCGACGAGACACAGAGGACCGCTGCCTATCAGGAGGGCTTGGAATTATTAACCTGGAACTGCTTGGCTGCGCATTAAGGGCCCGCTGGCTTTGGGCACAAAAGACAGACCCTTCTAGGCCATGGGCTGGTCTCCCAGTACAAATTTCCAGAAACACTCAGGCCCTTTTTAATGTTGCTATGGATGCAATAGTTGGTAATGGGGAGAAAATCTTGTTCTGGACATATCGCTGGCTGGATGGTCATACTTTGGATGAAATTGCTCCCGATCTGTTCAACACGGTCCCTAAAAGATTGACCAAAAGAAGGACTGTTGCTCAAGCGCTCCAAAATAATAGCTGGGTGGGTGACATCAAGGGAGCGCGTACAATTCAGGTCATGTATGAGTACCTTCAGATCTGGGATATTGTGGAGAATGTTGTCTTGCAGCAAGATACTCCAGATCAATACAAATGGAAGTTAAGTCAATCGGGGTCCTATAACAGTAAATCGGCATATGCTGCTTACTTTGAGGGTTCTGTCAGAATTGGGCCTTGGAGGAGGATTTGGAAAAGCTGGGCTCCTCCGCGTTGCAAATTCTTCATTTGGTTAGTGTTTCACAACAAGTGTTGGACCGTTGATCGGCTAAGCGAGGTCTGCCTCATCCAGAGGCTTGCCCCCTTTGTGACCAAGCTCCGGAGACAATCCACCACTTACTGGTTGGCTGTGTGTTCTCCCGCCAGGTTTGGGTGCTGATCTTCCAACGCCTGGGTCTGATACACCTAGCTCCTGAATCTCCTGAGACCCGTTTCTTTGGATGGTGGAGGAAAACATTCTTGGCTATACCAAAAGATATGAGTAAGGGCCTTAATTCTCTGATAATCCTGGTCGCTTGGGAGATTTGGAAACACAGGAATGATTGTGTGTTTGAAAAGGTCAGGCCGAACACTCAGGAGGTTCTTAGAGCTATAAACACTGAGGGCCACCTAAGGTGCATGGCTGGGGCTTCCAAGCTCCAAGAGCTAGTGCTCTCTGTTTGGTCACCTCTTCCCGATTCTGGCGCAGCCTGAGTATAATGGCTGCTGATGTGTTGGTGTGTGTTTTGTCAGCCTGAGTATAATGGCTGCTGATGTGTTGGTGTGTGTTTTGTAACTGGGTAGGGGCTACCCAAACCCGTTTTTTTCTTCTACCTTAATGAAATGACGCGCAGCTCTCCTGCGTAGTTCGAGAAAAAAGTAAGCAGGGTCGACAGTTTTTCTCCTTCGCCTTTGGTCACTCTCCAATTCAATTTCCCACTGCCCACTTGCCAGGTACCAAGGATGTGTTCCATCTTGATTAGAATTTAATTGTTTTTTATGCCCAAAAAATAATAAAAACACGAAATTTCATATATGTGTACAATTTGACAACAATGGATAAACTAACAGAAAGCGTCAGAAGTTCAAAAGAGATTAACATAGCAATTTCTGATGCACGTAATTACTGAAACATATGAAATTCACGAAGATAAATACATTAGTTTTTAATTTGAGAAGATATGCCATTTTGAGCTGAAGAATCAAATGAGAATAGTAGCATTCAGGTGGTACCTTGGGTTTTGTTCTGCATGATATGGCAGCCAAATGCTCCAAATGATTAGGAATAACAGATTTCTCAAGTGAAATTCCATTTTGTATGAATGGGTGTTGCAAAAGTTCAACTGACGTTGGACGTTGAGATGGGTCACGTTGCAGACACTTCCTAATGAAGTCCTTGCAGTGTTCCGAGAGGTGATCCGGTATTGGCGGAAGTTCCTTGCTGTTCCCAATCTTGAACACTGCAGCAATCTGTTGGCAAATAAAAGGGAAACATTCATACCTGAATTGCATTTATGATTAAGTTAACAATTAACAGAGGTCCAACATTTCATAACTTCATAAAGGTACATGAGCTTGGATTCCACTTTCAGATAGCAAGAAATTCTTGGTCAAATTCAGGAAAAAGTTAACTTTTCATTCATTCACCCAGTGTGGAATTCTGCTCTCTGGATATCAATGTAATGGCACATCCTATTTGTGCTCTCAGTAAATGGTAGAATTCAGTATCTTGAGGAAATGGCCCATTATCTTGAACCGATATGTTCATTGAAACGAAGGAAATATGTGAAACAGTGGGGATTATATAGCATGTTAAACTAATTCACAGTAAATAAGTTGTTCGTCGTTTTTCTTTCTTTTTTGAGAAAATGTATCTTTTCAGTAAATTGGGATGGCGGTGGCTGGTTGGTTGCTGGCGGGTTGCAAAGGGTGTAGTCATACAAGGTAGTAGGATGGGAACCTAGACCGTGAGGCCGAGATTCAGGCGCCAGCGATTGCGCAGGAACAAAAGGTAGGAGAAGAACAGGAGGGAACAGGGACTAGATTTAATCTACTCTTGGGGTTTTCCAGATACATGTGACCTATATATATAAGGACAAGTTACAAGTCCTTCCTCTCATATGACTTTAACTAATTCTAATCCAATCTGCTAATATATCTAACTAAAACCGACTAATGTATCTTCCAAACAAAAGCACCTAGGACTCTGACTCCTTGTCCTTGAGAACTCAAAACACTTGTATGTGCTGCATCCTGATCCTGGGCCGCCTCCTTGCCCTTCCAGCATCAATCCCATACATGACATCAACCAAGTACTTGAACTACAATAAATGCACAAGCAATTGAAGTTCTAACCAGTTCATGCTAAACCAAGGGGCTTTTGTCCTCCAAAAAAACAGTAGAAAGTGGGCAAGTCAATCTCACACTGTTATGAAATATAAGATAAAGGTATTCATGAAACTACAAGGTAAAGACTGTAGCTGCACCCAGAAGGCACAAAGAAATCAGCTACATCTGAATAGCTATGGGATAATAAATTAAGTTCTGAACTGCTGATGTAGTTAGAAAAGTAAAGTGAAATGCTGATTGCTGATGTGGGCAGCAATAGTCAACAATAAATGCAGATGGTTAACTCAGAATGAGCACCAGACATCGACACTCTAGAACAAATATCAGCTATATTTTGATGTCTAATACTGACCCCTTCATACTGACTCCATGGTGGCTTTGAGGTAGCCATTTCCAGGACAGTGCAACCTAAACTCCATATGTCAACCGCAAGGTTGCATCCATTAGAATTTTTTATAACCTGCATTTGTGTTGCATGGTTAGTGTTTTGGTAACAGAAATTATAATGTGATACACATTTTGAATTCAAAAAATACAAACTAAAGTAAGAGCTTGATTTTCAGCAGTACCTCTGGAGCCATCCAGTATGGACTACCCTTAAATGAAAAAGGACAGTGCTGCCCATTGATCTGGGAGAAACAAACACAAAAAGGAGAAAACAAAATAACAAGTTGAGGAGTAATGATGTGAGTTATGGTTAGAGAAAGAAAATCACAAGTAAAATTGTATTACCTTTCCCCACGTTCCACATAAATATACTAACAATGAAAAAGGAAAAAAAAATCCAAACAAACAAACTACTCCCTCTGGTTCAAGATATATGTCAATTTAGGACTCCTGACAAACAAACTTTTTAAAACTTTGATTGAAGTTTGAATATTAATATAAAAAATATATAGATAGATGTTACTAGATTCAACATGAAAAGCATTTTCAAAATATTTACTTACTTTTCTTTGAAATGTACATATTTTTCACAGAAACTGCCAGTAAAAGTTTCACCTTGTAGACAGTGTCAATGTCCTAAACAACATGTACTTGAATCAAAGGGAGTATTATTCAGTAAATTTTCATCTTATCTCAAAACACTCCTCCCTCTGTCACATTCCATTTCTTGGGCACCCTACCAATTATTCACCACCATTAAAGGTTGTATCAGAACACACCCCCTATCCTGGTCCAAGCAGTACCCAATTTTGCTAAAGTGGTGTGTGACATATCATGATGCTGCACTGGAACAGAGGCACAACTTATACTGCAGCAGAGGCGCAGAGCTTGCATGTGCTATTCGGGGCACTGAGGGTATGGCATATGCGATCACAGCTGGAGGCGCAATGAGCCAAGCATGAGGGTATGTCATAAGCTAAGCTCATTGACTGCACCTAAATGTTGGTACAATGGTATCTCTTGTGGCAGAGGCGCAGAGCATGGGTATTCAACTAAAATTACACCAGAAACTGGTTGTCAAAGTTAGGTTTTGGAGAGCGTATGAATGTCTGAAGTGCCACTTATCCATGACCAGAGTTATTAATGAATAACCCACAAAGGATTAGGATAATCTTATCATCAGTAATTAGACCGCTAGACCAGTATGCTCACCGCACCAGAACCTCAGACTAGTGTAGAAATGCTGTTGGAAACACAACTTTCATATGGCCGTATATTTTTGAAGAGGTCGGTCCATTTCAATTTTCAAGTGGTCATGGTTTATGGGGATAGATGAAAAAACTAGAAAGGGAAAATAAATGTAAGGATAACAAATCCATATTTCTACATGGAGAAAACATCAGCCTGCTTAACTACTTTTAACCAAGTAAAATGGCTTCGAGACTCTCGAGACTTACATGCTTTGCCATTCCAAAGTCTGCAAGCTTAACACGGCCACTTGGATCAACTAGTATGTTTGCACCTTTGATGTCCCTACAAATTATTAATAGCAGCCACAAAAGCAAAAGTAAAATAGATGGCATTTGCTGAATGTGCAACCCAAAAGATTGAACCAAAAAAAAAAACTGAAATGCTACCTATGGACCGTATTCTTGGCATGCAAATAAGCTAAGCCTGAAAGTATCTGTTGGGTGTAGCTGCGTATTGCTGGTTCACCAAGCTGTCCATACTCTTGAAGAAGTTTATGTATGGATCCACCAGAAACATATTCCAAATATATGTAAAGTTTATCGTCAACCTGATTTTGGGAAAACATAATACATAAGTTCAAGCCTAAAAATGAAAGTAATGTATGCATAGCCCTATTAATGATATTTGACAAGCTCTTGTGAACTTTTTTATCACCCTTGCTGAAGGGAAAAGGGTAAAAAATTAAGTAAGATTAAATATTATAACAGACACAATATTCTGAAATTGCAGGAACAGTAGAGGCATTATAGAAGCAAGCAAAACCAAGTGTACACAGATAGTAAATTAGTAATTGAAGGAAACAGTTTATACCATTTCTGATCCATAGTATTGTACAATATTTGGATGCCGTAAGCGGCTCAAGAGTGATACTTCCTGTTAAACAGAAAGGGCAAAGATAAAAGATAATGTAAAACAATAAACACAACAACTTATAAACTAAATTTTTGTAGGTGGTGCAAAACACATCTGAAATAACATACCTGCCGCAATTGCTTTGCACTCTCCTTTGATTTAGGATCATCCAAGAATAGGGTAACCTCTTTCATTGCGCACATTTCACCGCTATCACTAATAGTAATACAGATGATGATATCAAGACAGGGCAAATGGAAAGGTTATGAAAACTCAAGCATGATTTGAAAACGCTCAAATGGAAAGCGGATTATCCTATTGTTCAAAACAATTATCAGTGGGCTTGTTCGGCTTCTCGTCAACGCCATGTTGTGGCTGCAGCTGCTGCGTCAGGCATGACACAAAAACACTGTATGCCGGCTGTGTAGCAGTGCTGAACACCGCAGCCAAACAGGCCCAATATTTTTTGAAAAAAAAAAACTAACTTCTCGACTTTATTTGGACCATAAGGTCTTTTTTAACACAATAGGATGTATAGTTTTCAGTGTCCTATGACTATGTAACTTCACTATCAACATGAGTTGTCTTTTAGCTGTCATCTCTCATTGCTAGAATGCAATTATGCCAACAATTATGAATAGCAGTATGGCGCTCACAAGTTTTATGCAAGAAATATAGACATATAGTGTTATGGTCCTAACTAGTTTTATTCACTACGTGATCCTGTTCTTTTACATTTGATGCTTTGGATTTGGGCCGTATTAACAGTTAGTACAAGATGCCACGTGCCCCTTTTTGCTGTTGCTACCTCAACATAAGCAGGGAGTACAATATGAACAGCCTCTCTTAATCTTAGAGGCTGAGGAACATAACCATTTGAGACTTGTAAAGTGTGGCATACACAAGATGAGGTAGGGGTAATCTGTCTCTTCTCAGAAAAAAAAAATGTGTTTCCAGCTTTTCAAGGAAAAAACAGAGCACAATACACCTTACACCATAAAGGTACATGAATATACTACCTACCTAGTCTATTCTCTTGTAGGGAAAGTTAGCAAACAGATAAAGATTGTTACAGGTCAAATATTACTATATCATTTCTGGGAAACATTGAGCAAACAAAGCATATTATATAACTCCATTCACAAGAAAGAATTTCATAGTGGGATAATTAGAATAGAGGAAAGTGAGTCGAACAAAAAGAACCCCAGAAACTTGTAAAGATGTTAAACATATATTTATAGAAAAGTCAAACTTTGCATTTGAAATTCATGCGTAGGAAAACACGTACTTGTTGAAGCCAACATATACATGACCAAATGTCCCGCGACCAATCAGCTTGCCCTTCTTCCATCGTGATGCAGAACTTGATGGATTCTCTGTTCTGCCAGGGCTACGGGGTACTGAAATAGGACTGCTTGGCGTGGAGTTATTCGGAAAAAATGAACTGCTAGAGATGCTCAATGGTGGAAGGGGCAATTTATGGGTTTGCTTCTTCTTTCCATCATCATGCCGACTTGTAGGAGATTCAGGTGCCACTCCTCCAGACCTTGGATGCAATGGGGAAACACTTCCACTATGCACACGAGAACTAGGGCCAGGACTCGTCATTCTTGGGCTAGGAACTGGTGAACACTCTGGACTACCCCTGGTGGGTTGCCAAAAAAACTGGGCTAGCATATCGCCACCCACTGAATTATGTCCAGATGTTTGTCCTGAACCTGGACTGGAGCACTGACCAGATCCAAGGAAAGTTACATCAGCATGAGGCTTCACTGCCCAAAAGGCTGAAGTCGGAATATGATCAGGACATATTGGTCTTGGACTTCTCGAAGGACTTGACATCAAACTATTGGGAGCACTCTCGAAAACTACTGGCCGGAGATTTTGTAAATCTGGTTGATTATTGTCAGCTGAAATACCTCTTGGTGGCGTGGACTGTGTATGGTTACTGAGGAATGCATTAGCAGCTGGTTTCAATATTTCCTTCGTGGTCTTGGTAGTAATAGCACCACAGTGATCCTTGCGAACATTACTTCAGAAAGAGAAAAGGAAATGTTAGAACATGTTTAGATGAAGAGGCACACAAATAATGTGACGGCCTGGAATATAGGAATTGAATATAGAAGTGGTGTTTTTGGCCTCAGGAGAGTACCTTGACTTGTTCTTTGAAGAAACCCTTGTTACATTGTCAGTATCATTCCCAACAGGGCTCTGAAGCTGAGAATCTGCACGATCCTCACTATCAGCAGAACAATTGCTAGAGACAGAAGCAACCACTATTTCTGAAGGAATATCACTGCTTCCAGGTCCCCGGTGAAGCAGATTGGGTTTAGGAAGTGGCAGAAGCAGTGGTGGTTTGCCACGTTTTTCCAATATGGGCTTTGAATCATTGACATCAGCAACCGCACGAGTTACTCGAGGGCGTACTCCAGGAATAGGAAGTGGCTGGGCATGCAGCCTATCAGCTGAAAAACTTTGGCAGCGGGAAACTTCTTTTGAAGGAGAAGTTGGACGTGACACTGTTGTTGATTTGCAAACTTTCTCAGCAGCTGTATTATTGCCACGCCTACAATTCCGTTTTGATTTTGTGCTTCCCTTTTGCTCATTTGGACTTATCAAACGATGAAATGTATCGATCAGGTTTTCCTTGGTGGTTTTCTTAACATCTTTTGACGATGATTTACCCCACCATGTCGGCATATTGAGTGTGAAAGAATTTGTGGTGTGCTGGTGTATCTAGACAGCTACCAAACTGAACAATTAACATACCCTGGCCATCAGAAGGAAGGTATATGCATGAATTTCATTTGACCTCATGTAGTACCATCATCTTCCATAATGCACTAGCAATGAACGTACAGACAATCCAATCAATTGGAAACAGAGTTGAACACCTTTCTGCCTCAAAGGCTGAAATACACAAGCAGATATCATTAGAACCAGAAATTGTCAACTGAACATTAACTACGTGACACTAACATTTCCTTAGAACATATGCAGTAAAGGAATCAGGTTCATATAGATGCTGACAGCACAACTTGTTTCTTCCAATTTCTCTCTTATTTTTTGTTTCCTGTGATTCAGCATTGTGACCAGACTTATAATTCATAAAATGTATTTGTGATGTTTCTTTCGATCCAGTTTTTTACCCAGGAGCAGCAGCCATTACATGATCATCACCAAATGCACCATGAGCCTAAACTCTGAAGCATTTTGGATTAGTTTTGCCACACTGAATGTTTATCCCAGACGTAAAATTCGCAAAATTATTAATTCTTTTTTCTGTTTTGCCATGGATGGGGATGGCACTATAGATGTCCAAAGAGGCTGGGCCTAATCGGGGGCACGAGGCATGGCCCGTTAATAGTCGTGCTTGGGTCAGCACAGCCTGTATCCACGTGCCATGCCTAGGCTTGCCCCCTGGGCACGACATGCCGGCACAAGCACATATTCTAGCGCCAGATATAAAATCTCCCTAACCATATACATCCGACATCTCGCCCTCGGCCGCCACCCAAGTCCGAACTCCCTCTCTCGTCCACTCCCCTCCCCTTCTCGGATGCACTCTTCTCCTGTTCGCTCCCCTCCAATTTGCTCTTCTCCAATCCACTCTTCTCCCGTCCACTCCCCATCCACCGCTGCGGCGCTCCTCACTCCATCCGCCGCCATGGCCCCACCCCGTTACCCACTCGAGGTTGTCGGCCTGGCGCTCCGACCTCTGGGCGTACTATCCCGCATCTGACGGCTACACTCTCTCCTCCAGCCGCCGCCAGCCACTCCCTTATCCCTAGCCCCTGCTTCCTTGGTCCCCTATGCCTCACCTCTCCTCCCGGTGGACCAATGCCCCTCCACTGAATGCAAGTCGGCAATGGCAGGGCGGCGATGGTGAGAATGGCGTGCGCTGGCACGTGTAGGCGGTGACGGTGAGCATCAACCAGCAAGTTGATTTGCAATTCCCAATCCCCAATACCCACGGCGAGTTTTGTTGATTTGATTGAGATATTGATTTGTGAATATGTACATCGATTTTGAGAATATGTAATCTTGTGTTTTTTTTATTTTTTTCAATGTTGAACCAATTGAGTGGCTTGGTGTCCTAGATGCCTGTTGTGCTTGGGCTGCGTGCCCATTGTGCCGGCACGGTACGTCTAAGGGCAAGGAGAGCCGTGCCTGGCCCTTGCCTCAGCACGACGAACGGCAAGGAAGGACACGGCATGCTAGCTACTTGTGCCTATCGTGCTTGCCGTGCTTAATCGTGCTCGTGTCGTACCGCCCGTTTGGACATCTATAGATGGCACCTTGCAGTTAAAATGTTAAACATAACAGGTACAATTTGATTGAACAACAACAGAGCAAGAAACCATGTTCCCACGAGAGAAAAATTAATGGTCTTGTGGCTCTCTCAAAATCAAAATGTATCCTTAACAGTCCAACACTAACTGAAATGACCTGTAGTGCTTCGTATAGTGGTTTATTTACTTTGTGGCGTTACACTTTGCAAAGTTCCCTTAATGTGCTTACTAATTTGGAATGCTGCAGCAAGTCAGCGATAACACAGTACGGAAAAAAAAATTAATCACACGTGATAGAGCTGCCCACTCTCTAGTGTTGACTAATCTGCACCCGAGAAAACTCTACTTAGTGCAACTGAATTCCTAAAAAGTGTGTAGCAAGGTTAAGGGTCAATCTCTAGTCAGCTGTGTCCTAATAATTCAATCCAGCAAGAGCCTAGCGGGCTAAGGTCAACCTCCCTGGCACATCACTATGCATTCAAGTTCAAAACCTGGAAGTCACTATCTCACCGCCGACTTCAATATGCTCTGAAAGGAAATTCTATTATCCAGAAGACCAGAACTGAGTTCCTACTATCGACCTATCGGCCATGCCAGCAGAAGCTACGCCGAACACAGCACGCACTATTTCGCCAGCAAGCAAGCCATTTACTCTACACGCGAGCCCGCGCAGATCTCAGCACGACACACGCGTTCCAGATCCACCGGGCGTCCTGTCCCTGCGAAATTACTAGCCCAAACCAGCACAAGCTGCGGCATCTACTGGTAGCAGGCACCTAGCAACAGGGAAAACGAAGCGATTGCTGCAGAGTGAGAGACGGAAGGGAGGGGCTTACCGGGGGGACGCGGCGCGAGATCCGACCGCCGGAGCAGAAGCCGGAGGGAATCCGGAGGCGGTGCCGCACTGCCGCGGGGCTTCAGCAGCAAAAGCAACGGGGCTGAGTGGAAGCCGGGACGAGGAAAAGGATGAGAGCCCGAGGGAAAAGGAAGCAAGCGAAGCGTAACGGAATCGGGAGAGCTTTTAATTGGCCACGCTTCGATTCGAAGCTCGTTTCCTTCAAAAGCTAGCTTCCCTAAGAAGCGCAGGAAGTCGAAGCGTACCGTTTGGGAGGCGGCGGCCGCCGCCGCGCGAGGAGGGAGACAGCGCCTGCGTCGCGGGGAGGAAGAGGAACCCAGCGGCCACGTGCGGGGAGGAGGAGCCCGGAGTCGGCGGCGCCGGTGCCTCTCGAGCGAGCGGAGGGGCGAGGGCCGAGCGAATCGATGGGATTTTCCCCACTGCGCCTCGCCTGGACGCCTGCCGATTCCGCTTCCACGTTGAAACACCGCGAGAAGAATCGCGGGCGGGACAAGTGGGCCGCCGTTTGGGAGAGTTCGTCCGCCTTTTTCCCGTAAAGCCGGTAAGAAGCGGCTCCAAACAAAGCAGCGAGAGCTGTGTGCCGTGTGCGCTAGCCCGGAGGGAAGAAAGGAGGCGACGGCGGTGGCGTGATCTTCTGCGGCAACGAGCTCCTGCGGCCGGCCACCGTTGCGCTGCTGTGCTCTCTCGCTCCGTCGCTCGGGCGCTGCTGTAGTGCTGTTTTCACATCACAAGCGTGATGTGGAAGTGTGGCCATGAGTAGGTGCAGAAGATCTGAGGTTTCGGGGATCTGTACCTTTTCGGAAAACTTTCGAGGATTTATTCCGCGTAATGATACTGTAGCTTGTACAGAGGAGTGACCGCGTGTGAGCAACGGTTCTTTTATTTATTTTAATTTCAAAAGTTGGCTAATTACGTACCATTCCTTCTCTCTTTTTTTCAGTTTTAGATTTAGGGTCTGGTTAGTTAGTTCATGACCATAACTTGTCGTGCCACAAAACGAGATATGTTATAGTTTTTTTTAATATATATTTAGTTCACTGTTATAACTATAGTGTATCATACTTTCTTAGCATCCTATATCACACAATAATAGACGCATTTTTTACCAAACTTTGTCACAAATCTAGCTTCGATTTTGCGGTCACACTTTTTGTGGGCCTAAAATTCGGCGTGGCAAGGCATTTAAGTGCGTGACTATCCAAAAGTAGTAGGTCCAAATGGTATTGAAAAACTTTAAGCTACTATCCATCCAATCCAATTATATTTTTGTTGTCCCTATAACTCTCTATCTCTCTATCTCATCTTCACTTTTTCCCTCAGAGCTCCTATCTTCTTTCTAGTAAGGCTATTGTAGCTGCAGGTATCATTGTTGCATGTAAAGCACCTTTTTTTAACCGAGCCTAGTTGGACTGATAAATCACACAAAAAAAAACTATGCGTTGGGGTGAATAGCATAAAACTTTTGGGTTCTTGCCTGGAACTTGAAAATCCATACCGAACCTTAAAATGATGAATCGTTCGAAGTGTTTCAGGCTAGAAATGTCCCTCATTCTCATTGGGGGACTAGAATCGGTTGCATGCTAGTTTCAGTAATTTTAGTACCGTTTCTTTTACTTCCCTTCTTTTCTAACAATTATATTTTATTTGTTATAAGTCTTTGTAAGTGATATAAGTAAAAATGTGTTGTATATTTAAGTTGTTCTTTGTCCACAAAGGTTCTAAACTTTTTTGAAGAATGTTTTCATTTATATGATTTCTTATAAAAACGTTTTTTTGTGAACAAGAGTTCAGCCTACAAGCCAAACGTTCCACAAAATAATTCTGAGTTATCATCTGAAATATTTTTTGAGAGAATCTAGATCCAAAACGTTTCTACAAAAATCTGGATCTTTACTAAACGCACCAAAAGAGGTGGGTGGCCAGCGCATCCTTCTTCTTGGCGAGCTCCTGCAGATGGCAAGGGACAAGCCCGTGCAAGAGGTATAGTAGGCAAGGAAATGGAGGAGTGCGTGGCAATAGCGCAGCAGGCGAGGAAGTGTGGCGACTGGGGGGAGTAGACGGTGGCGAGGCGAGCATCGCGGGGGCGGATGTGTGTGCGGTGGAGGTGGGAGGTGTGGGAGAAGAGGAAGGAAAGAGAAATAAAAGTGAAAGAAAAATGAAGGAAGATAAGAGAAAAGGAGAGAAAAAAAAGAATAATATTGTTAACATTTCATCTTTTCCAACCACCAGGGTTGTTTTAGTAAGGCCTTGTTTAGATTGAGAAAAATTTCAACTCGATGAATAGTAGCACTTTCGTTTTATTTGGTAAATATTGTCCAATCGTGGACTAACTAAGCTCAAAAGATTCATCTCGTGATTTTCAACTAAACTGTGAAATTAGTTATTTTTTTTACCTACATTTAATGCTCCATGCAAACGGCTAAAAATTGATGTGATAGAGAGAGAGTGAAAAAACTTGGAATTTTGAGGGTATCTAAACAAGGCCTAAGAGTAAAAAAAGGTCGCTTCACTAAAGAAGCCACAAATCCAAACGAGCTATAACTAGTTTCATTATCTTTCTTGCACTTACGGGGATGAAAAACATATTCTCTCTCCTCTTAATTTCTATATCACGTCATCGTTTTTACTAATATGATATTATACTAAATAAGTATAAAATCTCTGTGAACCCCCTTTAAAACTGAGGTTATTGTAGCAATGGACGCAGTGCTAACCTATCTTATTTCAAGATCTTGAATTATAGCTAAATATAACTGAACTTATATATAAGGCCCCGTTTGGATCCTTAGAATTAAAATTCATACTAATAATCATAATTTAGGCACATATCAATTAAGCTAATATGGTTGTATGCGAAATATGAGTATATTACTGTTGGTTGTCCATGTGAGGGAGATATTGTAGGGGGACTAGAGGAGTGAGCCGAAAAGCGTGCTATAAGTTACAAAGTAAACGTAGCATGGTGATCTATAGAATCAATTTTTCATCTTCCACCCTATAAATTTAAGATATGCTTATAGGCCCCGTTCGGCTGACCTTAAAAGCGGCACTATTCAGCTTGTTTTTTCAGCCGGAAAAGTGTTTTTCTCTCACAACAATTCAGCCAGAACAATGTTTTCCAGCCAATTTCAGCCAAGCGAACGGAGCCACTCCGAACTTTGGAAAATTGTGAAATATCAAATTTCTAAGTCAAATAGTCTAATCCTATGTAGATTCTAATTCCTACACAATGAAAGCATCTAAACGGCCCTAAGTAGTTTTCATCCGGCGGCTTGGAGAATCAGAGTTTTGGATTTATCTTTTTCAAGATTGAAAATCATGGTGGAAATGAACTCCAGTTCATCATTGGGAAGTCGGGAATTCTAAGTAGGGGTGAGTCAGTATGGCTATCCAACGGGAAAGTACCAGAATGTTAGTGCTGCACGGCAAAACAACAAACAACAGCTTATGATACCCATGAATGAGGCACTGATCGGTGATCGGTCCATCATCACTGTAGTGCACAAGCACAAAACGGTGGG